ACCAAGTTGGTGAAGTTCCCACTTGATCAACTGATCAACAGTCCAGTCACGTCAGTGGGGCAACAATTAAAAACTATTTGCGGCCCGATAATGACAATTATGTCATGAATGGCAATGAGTGCGAGCGGGCAGGCAATATATGGCTCTCTTTTCCACATATAAATGTAGATATATATATGTGCATATATAACTGAGCCGTAACGACTCAGTGATCCAGCCCAGCCATATAAGGCCGCTCGGAAAGGCGACAATTGCGTGTAACGGCATTCAGTTTGTAATCGCGTAATACAGCTTGAAAAAGGTGTTTGTTGTTGGCTGTTTGCTGTTGTTTTTGTCGGCGTCGTGTTCAGGTATCTTATGACAATGACTCAGATGATTCTTATAGCCATATATGGCATATTCCATTTGGTCATAACAGCGACGGCTGCGAAACGCCTTGACCCCAATGAATGTGACGACGGCGTACCACTACCCGAAATGCAAATTCCAATTGCGGCAATTAAAATGTCAACGAATTTTGAATACGCTGCAAGAAAAGTAGATTGGTTTTTTTTTTAATGGTAGCTGAACTATCATGAATGCAAATTAGTCATAGGAATTTGACTCGGACTGAAATGAATATAGAATGTAATATGAGATGTACATGAAATGAATATAAACATTTGTAGAACTCTATCTGAAGTTCAAGAAAGACAGACTCATCAGCTGAGCAAATATATATAAAGCTTTTTATACATGTACTAAACCTCAAATAATAATAATTAAAGAGATAAATTAAATTAAAGTAGAAGAGTATAGCCTCGCGTGGCCACACATGTATAGCGTTTTCTATATGTGATATCATCTTTTCAGCATATTAAAGAAAATTTAATAGTTTATAGAAAGTATTTACCGTTGAGAGCCCATACTATAGATGAAACATATAGGCAGTCTTTTATTATCTTACATATTATCTTATATTATCATATCTATAATACATTTTGATATATCTTAATGACATTGAAGTATTCAACATTTTAAAAGCAGAGCTAATAGCTTCATATGCTTCGCAGCATGATGACAAGATTTTTAAGAGCTACTGTAGACAAGCATCTGCAACAACAACGACAACCACAACAACAATAACATCAACAACTGGAACTGCAAACAGTTGTAAATGAAACAGAGCGTGCACAATATATGCCTAAACCTGAGCGCTTTTTGGAGAGGTGGGTGCAGACAGTGAGCTTTGGGCATGAGGGGCGTGGCTGGCGGGGCTGGTGGGTGGCAGTTGGAGGAGTCGTGTTAAATTGACCGAAACGCGACGCAACAAACTTGAACTTAATTTGGTGCGCTTAGGAAGGCAAAACCCGCACGTTAAGGCAGTTGCCAAAAAACTTGGAATTTCTGTGTTGAGAACTTGTGAGTTTTCGGTTGCAGTGCAAATACATGTGTGTGTGTGTGTGCATGTATGTGTGTGGGTATGTGTGCGTGTGTTAGACTGAGTCAATAGCAGCGGAAGCTGTGGAAGTCGTTTAATTCTGCCTCTGTTGCTTTCACTTCCGCTTCATCAGCTAGCTAGCTGGCTAGCTGTCTGCTCCCGTATCATCACGCCTACCCTGATTATCAGCCACTGCACTGCAGCAGCATCATCATCATAAGTATCATCATTATGAACAGCATGAGCAGCAGGTTGAGCAAACTGACAGCTGTAAGTGGGTTTCGCTTACAGCACAGACGAAAACACGTGGGTAGCACAAGTATGCTCCACTTCCAACTTGAACGCAGCTCTGCCTACTCCTCCTCCTCTTCCTCCTCCTCCTCCAGCTGCATCTCTAGTTAATAAAAGTTGTGTTTTCACTTCAGCATTTGATATATGTTTCCTTTTTGGAATCTTCATGTAGCATTCACTCCATCCAGACAGTTGATAGGCAACTCAGATGCCATATGCCATATGCCATATGCCAACTGCCTGCATTTCGATTTCGTACGTGTGAATTGTGCTATATTAGAAAGTGTTTTGGCGGCCTGTCTAGAGTTGTTTTCAAAAGAAAAGAAGTCAAGAACGGGCGTTGAGATTGAAGTAAAGCAGTGAAAGGGATATATTAAACATGTGTAAGCAGAGATTGAGCAGATCAGATATTTTAGTTATATAGTTCACTTTTATTTCTTGGATTTTAGAACTAATTTCACTTAAGATAAATTTGTATCCACGCTTTGAGCAAGTCGCATCATTTGACACTTTATGTTGCCCTATAAATAGATTTTAGTTGTTGCTTCGTGCTTAGACGCCATTGTTTTTCTACTATTTGTTGCTGTTGTTGTTGTTGTTGTTGTTGTTTGTGGTGTTGCAGTCATTTGTCATTTGGTTTGGTCGCTTTGACTCTGGTAATCCAATCCGTTCGTGTTCGCAGCTAACCATGCCAAACCCCAAGCGCCCAGCTCGAAGCTGAAGACCAAAGCACCCAAAACCAAAGCCCCAATTCCCGTTCAGTTGGTTTACTTTATGGGTCTCTCTCTCCCTCACCCTATTCCTCCCTCTTTCGCTGTCTGGACTGTGGCTCATGCCAATTGTTAGTTTTTTATTGTCGCGCTGCGGAGACGTTTAAAATGTTGAAAGCGTGCAAATTCGAATGCAAATTCAACACCTCAACAACAACAACAACAACAAGGGAAACAGCATGAAACACTTAAGGTTTTTTATTTTTGGAAATTGAGCCTCAAATTGAAAACCAAGACGAGAAGCGAGCGGCAAATGAAAAGTGGGTTAAAGCGAGCATAGAAAATAAATGCAGTCTGCTACACAAAGCGATTACCTCACACACTCACACGAACACACACACACACACACACCTTAACAGCCACAACTGCATTTTATTGTGAAAGTGAAATTGAATTTTTGTGACGGTCATCAAAACCTCATCAAAAGTCAGAGGGGAACAGATGAGTTATGAGAAATGCTCTTTCATTCTCTCTCTCTCTCTCTCTCTTTAGATATCGCACATTCTCTCTCTCTCTTAATCTCTCTGTGTCATGTTCAATGACTTTCCTACTGGTTACATATGCGCCACACGCAGCTTACAAAAAGTAGACAAAACTAAGCACGAGTAGGAATATTTTAATCGGCAGTGCACGACTTGAAGCTACCCTAACCTAACAAATAAAACAAAAAACATGAGCATGATCACATCTATTAGAGTATTAATATTAACAAAATTAGCAATGCTCAGCTAAAAAGGGTCATCTGAATTCATTTTAGTTTAATATATAAATTGCATATATATACTCTGTCATACGCTCATACCCAGCACTCAGATCTTGAGTCTTACCCTTTTGAGTTCCGCTGAAAACTTTCGAGTCGTCAAGTTAAATCCGTTGATTTATGAAAACTTTTCTTGGACCCTTGTGGCTTACGGCTTTACGTATGGCCATACCGATTCCCATTGCAATGGAGTTCCACTGGAACTGTGGAATGTGGTTGCCTTTAGCCCCCAGTGGGTTGGTTGCCATTGAGATTGTCTGTTTGCGTGTGTGTGTGTGTGTGCTTTTGGCCAAACGGGTTTCCCATTGCCAACTCTTTGACTCTTTGGTGATGAAATCGCAATCACTTCATCACTTTACGTCTGGTTTGCGTCTATGCTATTTATGGTTGCTGTCTATGCTGTCCATGTCTATGTGTGAGTGTGTGTGTGTTAGTGTAACCAATTAACGCATTTTTCTCGCATATTTCGCGCTTTATGCCGCTCGCTAATCCGCAGACAAGTTAATCGTTTGTTGACCCCCAACTCAAGTCTCCAAGCTGGCTAACAGGCTGAGCGCGACTGCAAGGCGGCAGGAATAAAACTTCTCACAAATTTGCATAACGCGTCGTCTGCTTGCATTGAGTTGCCTCCCTTTGAAGCGCAGCCACCAATGACAATTGTGCTCCCCTTCCCCCCCACACACCTATCTCAATCTCAGCTTTTCTCTGCCGGCAATGACAATTATCCCCTCTGGCCTCTCTCTTTCTGCCTCTGGCTGGCTGAGCTGCCTGTCTGCTGCGCATCTCTTGTGCAGTGCACACAAATTAGAAGGCTAAGAATAAGTTGCTGCAGCTACAGCTTATCAATAAAAGTGAGAGATATGACGACTGGAGCCAGTTTCTCTGAAGTTGCTTCATGAAGTGGACTCTGTAGTCTATTTATAGAACTGTCTAATAAGAAAAACTAATAAATTCAGTTGATACTCGTAACAATAAACTACGGAAACTCCTCAAATGCACTGCAATGTATTATAGAGTAACTCACATACAATCAACTTGAATTTTTTTTTGTAACATTTTAAATGCGAACAAGTTTTTAAAGAAGTTTTGGCTCAACCACTTATAAGTGCTTATCTACCAATTTGGCTAGCTGGCTGGCCGCTCTTAGCCACAGCCACTCCCTCTTTCTACGCCCACCAGCTACCGCAAACCGAAAGACCTAAAGACCGAAGACCAATTAGAGACTAACCAGAGAATGCTCGCAAAGCCAAAAAATCTTTTCAAGTTTTAGTTTTTATGCTCATCTTGGGTTTTAGTTTTAGTTTTTGGTTGCATTGCGCCAATTTAACAAGGCGCAAAGAACAATAATAACTGAGAGCAGCGGGCAATGAAACGAAAGCTAAGCAGAAATGCTAGACTACGAGGATACCCTGCCAACTTTAGAATGACAGCCAAGTGCATAAACAGAGGCATGAAAAGTATTTTGTAAATATAGTTTTTGATTACAAGCTCACCTGTTGCTATATACAAATATTTATTTATTTAACTAGCGTACGTTGTAATTTAATTTATAAATATAGTTCTTATTTTCTACTTCTGAATTGCTTGGAAATTCTACATCTACCTCTAAACCAATATACCCGCTTAATACACACATATTGTATATGCCTAGAGTATAAGTACAACAATTTCTTTTTTTCCCCATCCGACGACTGGCGAACAAATTTGCTAACAATTTTCCTCTAATTCTTGTTCTTTCCTTTGCTCTATTCCGTTTCAGACATGGCACAAAACGTGTTTCAAATGCACAGAATGCGGAATGACGCTCAATATGAAAACCTACAAGGGCTACAACAAAATGCCATACTGTGAAGCGTAAGTATGAAAACCGAATGTAAATACCCTACACTAGAAACTGCTTAAGAGGGAGGATTTGGGGTATCGCTAGGGGGGACGGCCTGGGCATGCCAACCTTGACGTACAATCTTCATTAGCGTCGTTTATCTTATCTGCGAGCTGTCCGAACCGAGATAAGTAGCACACCGCGGCAATAGCAGCCACTTTTATAGAAAATCTCGAGCAACAGCTGTCCAGGTAACAGCGACGGCGACGTCGGCGTCTGCGTCGGCGGCTGGCACTTGTCACGTGCTGTTGCCGCACGAATTGCTGAATTGCAGCTGTTAAAAAGGTGCGGAAATGCGGCGACACCTTAGTGAAAGAAACACACACACCTATATAAACACAAACACATTCGCACTGTTGCAATTGCCCCTGCAGCATTGCAGCAACTTTAACCCCGTTAGGAACGCGATTTGTATACCCTGTACGCATTGCAAATGGGTATATCAGGGCAAGAGATTAAACTGTAGAAAGTTATATAGCAGGCAAAGGGAGATATGATTTACAGCATACAGAAAAGAAATGGAATTATTCATGTTATTTGACGTCAGTTAAAGAAGAAGTGATCTAGCTTCCCCTTCAGAACATATCTATATATTATATGTGATATATGTGAGAGTCTAGTGTCTATATAAGTTCTTAATCCTTATTATTTGGATACCTTCTACAATTTTCGAATAGGGGAACCTACTTCCCAAAACCCAAATTATGTCTACTTTCGCTTGAAATCACTTGGAAGAGTATATAGAAATAGTAGAAATTGTTCGCCTACTTCACATGTGCAATCTCAAATTGAACGGGTATATCGTAGTCGGACACACCCAGCTAGACCGCTCCTACTTGTTATCGTTGTATTCACTCTACGAGCGTGTTGCACAAGGGGCAGGCACTGTGCCACTGCCACTGCCACGCCCCAATGTTATTGTTCTAGCCAACGTGTTGTGTTGTTKGTCTCTATGCTCTCGCTGCTGTCATTGTTGTTGCTGTTGTTGTTGTCATATATTGTGACCATTGTGCCTAGTGGTTATCCAGAGTTTGCCACTGCAGTGCGTGGCGTCCGTTCCCGTTTATTGGCCTTGAGCCAAGCGGGCTGCAAACTGCAACAGCAATGGGCCACGGGCCACGTTCCCTAATGCAGATTTATTGTGGATGCCACCGCTGCGGGAATAAAAATTCCATGCGGATTGAGTTATGCGTCCGTTAGCTTTTGCTCTGACGCAGTGGCCAGCACGCAGTACCCACCCGGCACCCAATACGGCTCATTGCTAACTCCAATCCTGGATGATGTCATGTTGGCCCCAATGGGGCGTGGCTTGTCTTCCGTTTCAGCACTTTCACTGCAGTGAACGCCTTTGAGCCATTTGCACCTTACGTGCTGCCACGTTCCGGCGGAATCTACAATTTCTGTGGCTGCCACGGCTGGTGGCTTTCTGATTCTCTCCTGTTTGGGATTTTATAATTGCTTGAGAAGTTTTTCCAGCAGTTTTCTTTCTCTGACTTTGCAAAGTTTCACAGCCACTTTAGGGTCAGCAGAAAAGCCAAAGTTTTCCTGCCCTCAATGGAATAACGATTGTAATAAATTATGAACTACGAAACTACTAAAGAGATTTAAAGCGCCGGAGACATGCAATTATACTTGCCACATGTGGAGCGCCACATGGAATTGGGATTTTAATTGGATAAACGAAGTTCGAGGGCTAGAATTTAAGCACTGGAAAAAATCAAAGAAACTTATTTATAAATATAAATTGAAATAATAATGATAGTAAAGTTAAATACAAAATAATTAATAAATATTAAAAACTATAATTAATAATAAATAATGAACGCTTAAAAGAGATTTTAGATATAT